GAGTTCGGGGAAGTCACATGCCTGATGGAGTGGGGCAAAGGTCTCGACAGGATCGTTGATGTGATCGAGACTCACCTTGCCTCCGCTCCCCCGGAAGGGGTAGAGCTTGTGGTTTCCTGGGCCGGCAACGACGTGTATGGTAACTACGGTTACCTTGGCTACACTTGGCACTTGACGAGCCAGTGGGTCAAGAGGCCGCAGAGTGAGCTGGACGAGATTGAACATTGGCCCGCAAAGCAGCGGCTGATGGTCGAGAAGAGCGTCCGCCGCCTCATCGAGCTGCGGAAGCACACTCGTGTCAGAGGCCTGACGGTTCTCTTGGGAGATGACAACGGTCGTTTTTACAACCTGCCCAGTGAGTATGATGAAGAAATGGGTAAGTACGCCCGGCAGTTGCTGAGTGCAGGCATCAGCGTCGTTGATCCATCAAGTCTCCTGATGAGGACCACGCGTCCTGACGGGTTCCACATCGAGGTCACTGACCCGAATGTGACTGCATCCTTGCAGTGGTGGCATGCTCTCATCAGAGCCGTGTCCACCGACCGAATCATCACTCGCCGGAAGGCTGAGTTCGTCGCCAATCAGAGAAGTATTGTGTTCCGCAATCACTTCGAGCTTGGGAAGGCCGAAAAGACGCTCACGGTGCCGCCTGCTAGCCAGCGCATCCTTGAGCCATTGGACCACGCACCCATGCTTCCGGCGGAAGCCAGGGAAGAGGATGAGCAGATCGTTCTCGATCACCCTCTTCTGATGATGATGCCTGAGCCGGTCGATGATATCGATCTCAAGCCGGAAGGCTCTGAAGAGGTGACCCAGGTTGAACATGTTCTATTCAGCCGTGATATTGGGTCAGAGCTGCCCCTCGACCTTGTCGCCATCGATCCTGAGGCGCAAGAGGACTTTGCCTTTACGGTGGCACGTGATGTCATCAACACCACGAATGTGCTTATCCCTGACGGAGATGCCATCGAGAAGGAGGCCGCTGACGGCATCCCAACGGTGTGGGACGAACCCCCTGAGGTTCCGGCATTGGAAGATGACCGCAGACTCCCGAAAGGCACAGTCAGGTATTCGCTGTCTCTTCGCAAAGTCGGGTCGACGCCCAAGTCGAAACCCGACCCTGCCAAGCACAGGAGAATCTCGGAGACAGTCGATACCGACGACGAAGAGGATGTCGTCATGGACCTGGATCCTGATGACGCCGCTCAGCCGTCGGAAGACGCAGCTCAGCCGTCGGAAGACGTTGCTGTTGACTTCGAGCCATTCTTTGAGTGGTGGGGCTATGAAGACATCCCCGATTTTGCCCCAAGCCATCGCTACATGACAGATGGCAAGCGGCGAGCATTGAGCAATGCCATGAGCTTTTTCCTTCGTGGCTTCGCGAATAGTGCAGAGTCACAGGCACAACGGCGGCCACCGCCCATGATGACCTTCGACCCCGCAGCGCGGGAGGTCGAATGGGATCACTTCAAAGAGCAATTGGGCAAACAGTGGCGCGGTCTCCGGTCGGAAGACGTCATGGAAGTGGTGAAGTATGGGAACCACGACAAAGATGACAATGGGCGCTTTGAGTTGCGCGTCCTCCACTTCATCGACCACACTGAGATTCATGGAATCCGTGCATTCCAAGGGCACTGCCGCGATCTCATCTCTGACGAGACTGATCTTGTGGATATGCACAGTGACAGCTATGCTTTGTGTGACGACTACAGGCCCACCATGCATACGCGCCCTGCCGTAGGGGTCACTGGCCAAATCCACAACGACTGGGTCAGAATGCATCCGATCGGATACCATGCGACCTATTGGAGCAATTTTTCCAATATCGTTAGTACCGGTCTCATCCCAGGCGGTGTCACCCTCGGCGGAAGCACGGGGAGAGCCTTCACAATGATGGCTTCCCTCCCTCAGTGGGAAAGGCCGAACAACGCAGGCCTGCGACCTGGCGCTGAGGTTGAATTCGCTATCGACCTCCAACTCGCGTGCCTGGAAGGGTGTCGCATTCTCCTGACAAAGAACAATGTTCTGCAGACCCCAGATTGGTTGTCCAATCGCTACCTTATGTTTGCTTACGATCGCAGAACCGGGAAACCCGTATGGTTTAACCGCTCGTACGAGCTCACGCGAGCTCGGGTGTCCAAAGCCCGTGATGCATATGTCAAGCGTCAGGAGATCCTGCCGGTCTTCAACCAAGACCTCATCGAACGCGCAGCGGAAGCTGACGCCAATTGCATCATGGATTACGTTGATCTCTGTTACCCGATCCACAATGAAAATTTGGACTGGGTTGAATTCTTGGGTATGTTCATGGACATGCAGAAGCCCTCGCACTTGCGTGAGGTTGAGCAGTTTCATGTCGATGGTCGTACCATCTGCTTTGAGCAGGATAGTCCGCTGGAGGGAACTCCGTGCGAATGGACTTTGGATGCCCAGGTCTACTTTTCGCCCATCGGGCTGACCACCGAGCGCCCGTTGCGTGTGGAGCGCAAGCACTACTCAGTGTGCCTCAACGTGCACTTCCCAAAGCTGCGCTGCCCTGATGATAGGTGCAGGTCTCAGATGCTTGACGGCTATCTCAATTGCCCCCGCTGCCAGCGAAAGTTGTTCAACCCGAGCGACATCTCCCACATTGCGGAGCTGGCTGATCTGCGGGCGGAAGCCGCGCAAGGTGGAGCTAACCACAGCCTCCACTATCTGGCACCAAGAGCAGCTATCAACACTCGTCCACACGAGCACACCCGTCAGGGGGCCGATGTTAAGAAAAGCATCGCTGCGACTCTCAAGGAGAAGTGCAAGAAAATGGTGGCGAAAGCAGCAGAAGGGACACATGGTTCCCTGCGCCAGAACCTGAAGTACGAACCTTTCAGCGCCTTCAATGTTTTTTCGAAGGGGATGACGGTGACTTCACTCGACGAAGTCGAGATGTTCGCGCGCTTGCGACTTCCCGCCCCGGGAACGGGGACGGAGGCAAAGAGAGGCTTTGCCGGATCTCATACATCCGATGCACGCACTGCTCTCATTTTCCCTCCCGTCGACGACATTATTCGCGGGGAGTACAATTACCAGAGGAACATCTTTCTCGAGCTGGCCAAGCACTGCTATTTCTGTTTCCAAGATCGCTTTTACTTGGTTCCTGAAATCGCCGTGTTGATCCGTGCCACTCAGTTGGCCTCTGAGGTCCGCAATCTGCGTCCTTTCACAATCCTCCGCCATGACGGCGTCGAGTACCAGCCCGTGACCGGGACTGTCCCTGAGATCATGGCCGACCTCGTCGGTTTGCTCCGCAACCATGCACATCGTGCTCTTACCAACAAGGAGCGCAACCAGCAACGGGTTACTGTGCAAGTCGGAATAGGGCAGACTCCCTTGGAGATTCCAGCATCGCTTGGAACTATGGGCAGGTCTCAGATGCTTGAACTTCTGGGCGGTACGCGGTTCAGTGTTGAGCGTACCCGCGGCTGGATTAATCGCGAGGTGGAAGACCGAATGGTCCGACATGGTGCCACTCCCATCGGCGCCATGCGTGTGCCGCCTCCACCGCCGTCACCATCCGGAAGGACTGGTCCTGACTCGTCGCTGCCTGCAGCAACACCCAGTGTTCGGCCTCCACCGGCTCCTCCGAGCCGAGGTCGCTCACCTGGCGGTGCAGCTTCGTCATCCACGGATCGTCCGATGAGCACTTCTGTTCCAAAAGCTGCAAAGACGAAGGCAAGGCCGGCATCTGCCCGAAGCATTACGCCGCCTCCTCCAAAACCAAGTGCCAACAGACCAGTGCAGCCGCCTTACCCGCCTACTGCAAAAGCTGTTCCGAAGGCTGGCGCCGTTCGTGCACCTGAGGAATACATCACTGCAGATGAATGGGACAACTACTTTGCCGGCCGTGGCGAAGTCAGAGGCTTTGCTGTTGGCGATGCACCAGCTCCGGTTGCTGCCCCTGCTGGGCCACCTGCCACAGCCGCCGGAGGACGTGCTCGCACTCGCTCACCGCGCCGCCATGACTATGGTGGTGGTCGAGACTATCAAGAGGCCGCGAACGACAGGTTGCGTCACCTGCGCCTGTGTGATGAGGCAATTGAGCAGCAACTCGAGAACCTGACGGTCACTCTCCCAGGCTTCCCAGCTGATCGCTTGAGGGACTGGACTGACCAGGATGGGAACGGATTCGATCCAACCCAACCAATGCCTCGCAATTGCACTCGCACAGATGCTTGGTATTGGGCAGTTCTCCGTGCCCGTTATCTTGAGGAGCTGTCGCCCAATGAAGTGCCTTTTGTGATTCCCGATTACACCGACCGGGAGGTCTTGGTTCAGCATCCAGTTGAGCAGATTGCCTGGTTCCTGCGTGGCTGGGAGGAGTTCCGCCAAGACTCCAATGGAGCATGGTACAGGGCATACTAGCCAATTGCATCCGACACCGGAAGGTGCTCCGCGTCTTGAGGGCACCGTGTCAGAAGATGCAAGAGTCGCACGCAATAGCGGCTTGCATTTTGATTCGTTTTTCTGCAGCTCACCGCACTGACGTGCTGGTTCGTCTTTCACAGCCATCGCATCGGCACCTCCGTGCATCACCGCCCTGACGGGTTGGTTCTCTGACCTGCTTAGTGGAGTGATTCGAGCTTGCATTTCAACATCTTTTGCTAGCCTCGCAAAGCGAGTGCTGCCGACGTGTAGCGTAGTTCAGAGTTACGCCTCCTCCGCTGCGCTTCAATGCGCGGGGGGTGTTTTTAATCTCTTTGTACGTTTGTCCTAGTGTCTTACCTACGCTACCGTATGGCTCAAGTATGAAAAAGGATTCGTGCGTCCTGCTGTTAACAATAAAACCTGAACTACCTACCGAATAGGTGTCCGCGGATCCTGGGCTCCAATAGAAGGCCTGTATCAGAAAACCAAGGTAGGCGCAGACAGTGGCAACATCCCCAGAGTGTCGGGCCTGTGTGCCCATGAGCGGGGTGTCATCCATACCTGTTGTGCGTTGTGCCTAAGTTCCGTTGCCATATGAGGAGCAAGACCCTTTCCATCTACAGGAAGAGACGCAGGACTGCCTGGGTTCTGAGAGTTGTCCTGTCAAGTCTTTTGGCCAATGATAGTGCGAGCAATGGTGAACCCTAAAGCCCCACACTCGCAACTCTAAACCCGAAGCCCTCAACCCGAAATCGCTTCAAAGCATCGGCGCCCTTTCGCAGGATGTAGCGAGCACAGCCGCTCCTTGGTGAAATGTTCAGTACTGCAAGGCCTCAACACGAAACCCCCCCCTGTGACGCCGATGTTCCAAGGGGTACATCCCATAAAGAAAGGTCATAACCGACTATTTTGCAGGGTTTGGGGGTACGGGCGGGCGGTGTTTCTGTGAGCGTGGTGCCAGCAACGCATGCACATCATTCAGCAGCTACTGTTGATCTTGAGCATTTGGCTGCACCTGGGGTCATGCGGATGACCGCTCTTGCACGCCCAAGTCATTTGCACTGTGACTGCAATGCTCGTTGAAGAAGCTGGTCGAAGTCATCTGCCGAGGTTTTGCGAACAAGCGTCCAAGCTCTTACTGCCATGGGCGGAGGCGATGTTGTACTTTTCCAGGCCATGCGATCAGGAGAGCAGCTTGGTGCCGGTTCTCCCAGAGGGTCAATATGCACTACTATTATGGAATCAGGTCCCCAAACACCATCATCATTAAGGTTTTAGGGGACCTAATTCCACAATAGTACTGTATGTGGACCCTCTGTGTCTGTATGTTATCAGGCAACATGAGCAGTTCTCCACCTGTGGCTGTAACGCCGAGACTGCAAGCCTTACACAACTGCTCTCAATAGCTATAACCTTCACAGCAGCATGTATAGCAACCGTCATAGTAACCCGGCTTGTAGCCCTTCCAAAAACCATAGTGAAGCCTTCAAGAGCCTATAAACCCTTTCTGCCTAAACCTTTCAACAGCCAGCACCCCAACTACGCTTTAGTAGCCCGATTCAAGTACCCACTATGAAGGATCATTCGGGCTCTATTGCAGGGCACTTGGGGGGTTCCTTCATGAGGCTTAGTACCTAGTGTTATAAGACTTCGGTAATCATAACTGTATCTGCTAAGTCCCATGTACCCTAAACCCTAAGCCGAAACCCTAAACCATAAGCCTTGGAGGCCACGGTGGCTGAGAGCTGGGTCGGAGAGAGCGACTCCTCGGCCGAAAATGACGACCCGCTCTCCCCAAAAACGCCAAAGACGCCGAAGACGCCGAAGACGCCCATGGGAACGCCCCTGAAGAGACTGGGAAGGATTTTAGGGTATCAAGTGTAGAGTTCAGGGATTTGGGAATTACCTAAACCCGCCTAAAGTAGGTAAACTAACGGCCCAACACTTAGGGCCTAGGGGTATCGGGCTCCGGGGTCTCGGGTTCACTGTAGGGTTTAGTCGCATAGGGTAGGGCGTAGAGATGGAAACGACTTGAGAGTTTGGGATTTCAGTACTGCGATTGGCGTTTCTAGGGATAGGAGGCTGGGATGAGGGAGCAAGACACATAACATGCTAAGGGCATGGCTAGTTTTACTTTCATGTTGGGAGTTTCGGAATCGGGGACCCTAATGCGTTCTCAATCTCAGCACCTCCCAGATAAGGTACCCTAGTTTCCTGAACTCCCTGCCCGATGCGCCTGCTTTGTGTGTGTTAAGTCGTGTGTAAGGAAGAAGAAGCGCAGCTTTCTGGAGCAGATGCATCGCACTTGCTGTCGAACAGGCCGGGCTGGGATCTGCCCCTGGGCACTTTCGAGAATCAGAGAGTGCCCAGTAGTTAAGGAGTCTCTGGGTAGCGAGTAGCTCATTTAGGGGGTCCAGTTCTGGACTACGGTCCGCCAATATGGCCCGAAGCTCCTTAGAGCCTTAGACTAGGTATCGATTTGGGGATGATTTGAATTTCCCCATATTGTTTTGTACAGAGCCCCAAGTATACATAATTTTGGAGATTCTTGAGATCGTCACCTAGTAGATCATCCATCATATCGGCCTCCTCACGAGAGATACGTACATCCGGGCCGGCAACCAGAACTTGGCCATGGTTGCTGGATCACCTCATCGAGCGAGCTGGTAGAATAGGCTTCTTGAGGGTTCAGGAGATGATGATCGATCCTGAGAAGCCAGGTGTGGCTGTCAGTGCAGTGACGGTCGCTCGCGAGGGCTGCGATGCCACAAAACTCCACTGGCTCCCCTGGCGAACGGGTGGAGATGCGCCTAAACACTGAACCCTGGATGCTTAGGGTTGGGATTTCTTGGAGCACGAAGACCCTCAATTTTCAACCCCTCAGCCCGAAAGCCCGAAACCCAAGCCCCTATCAGCCCAAAAACACCAAAAAAACGAAGCAAAACCCCCCCATGCCTCCATTCGCCCTCAACCCAAAGCTCCTACAGCCCCTGTATAGTGATCCCAAAAAGGGTAACTCCTTCTGTGAACCCTAAGACCCTCAAAGGAACCTGTATCGCAACCTTACCCAAAGGCTCCATGTACCCACATAGTAGATACTTAGGCCTCAAAGTACCTATGTGCGGACCCCTTTAAGGCTTAAGCATCTACTATAAAGGTACATGGAGCCTTTGGGTTAAGCCCCTAAGGCCCCAACCAAGGTGCTGCATCTGCCAACTCTCGGATCTGGAGCGGGTCGGAACATGGCCCAGCATCTGCAGCACTGGATGAGGAAGATGCAAGGTAGTGCCATGGCTTCCTCTGACTATTATTTCTGCTGCTACGTACTCTTGTGATTGCGAGGATGGCTCTTGCTACTATTTCGGAGGGAGTTCTTTTGCATGTGTTACCTCGATTCCCTTTGTACTCCCTTTTTCTATACCCTAAGCACTAGACCCTAAACCTCCCAGCGACGTTGAGACGGTGAGGCCTCGCCTAGTTGAGACAATCCTTAAGGAGGCAGATGAACCCGAAAACTGTTCCCTCTAGGGTTTTCTCTCAGGGCTCCTATAAGGGCTTTATGGGTTCTGTGGGGTTCGGGGTGTGGGGCTTAAGGACGAACCCCAAAAGGTCTTAAGCCTTAAGGGTCATCTACTACATAGTGATTAAGAGCATAGGGGTATAGGGTATAGGCCTGTACTGAGAAGGGTGATTTGGTTTTCAACTCATGCACGCTAAGGTGCCTACAACTGCGTGGTTAAGCTCCGCTGCAGCAAAGGCAGGGAAACGCAGATTTAACCGCAGAAGTGCACTTATCGTTAAAACATGCATAGCCCTAAACCCGAAAAGCTCTTGCGTGCCTTCGCGGTAACGCACGAAAGACATTGGATCTTAAGTCGCCTGTCAGGGAGCCAGCCACTTTTCAGCATCCAGAAGCCTCCGAAATTGCTTGTCGAAGCAGATTTGGGTCGCTCGCAAAGTTTCCTGACAGCTCAGGTGGCGGATAACTGCTGTAAGAAGGGTGTTCCTCCCCATCGCAGCTGCGAAGACTTATGCTTGAACCCCGCAGACCCACACCTCAAGGCTCATAGCTATATGAACTCCATAAGCCCTAAGCCCTACGGGTCCTCAAGGCTTACAGGAACCCGAAGCCCCAAGCCCAAAGGGTTTAGGATTTCAGGATTTTTGTTTAGACACCCACGGCTAAGACAATAGTTACAATGATCTTAATAAGGGTAATACGTACAGAAAAGCTTATAGTAGTTACAATAACCAAATTACAATACTGATATTACTTGTAAGAACTATATGCAGTACTTATAATTACAACACTTATAAGATTTATAATACTTATATATACTAAAAAACCCTAAACCCTAAACCCTAAATAAGCCCCAAACCCTAAACCCTAAACCCTAAACCTACTACTACTCATATACCAATCCTTAAGAGGCCTGAGCTGCAAGTCCTTGTTGGCCCCGTGGCCGGCGGCGGCCTCATCGGGCGACCAAAGCGCCTTCGAGGCCCTTTGTAAGGATCTGCATGTAAGGGTTCCTAGGGCTCCTTTAAAGGGGTGTATAGAGGTTACTATAAGGGATCTATAAGGGTACTATAATATAGGGGCCATCATAACTGCCTATACTTTTTTGGGTTCCTACTTGGAGGGTCGGGGGACTTAGTAAGTAGGTAGTAAGTAGACTTATAAGTACCTTAAAAGGGACCTTAATTGGGGTCATGGTACTTAGAAGTCCCTAGAATAACCAGTTACTAAGTCCCCCGACCCTCCAAGTAGGGATCCCTTAATTAAGGAATATACCCTAAATCATATTAGGACCCCTACGATGATTTGAGGCATATTCCGTAATTAAGGCTATTGTGGGATATTGGTGGAGGGTTTGGGTGTTTACGAGTTTAGAGCTTGAGGGCTTCTGGGGTTTAGGGTTTCGGGTTCCTTCAAGGGATCGATAAGGGGTATTGTATGGGGTTGAGGGCTCTCTTGAGGATTGTTATATTAGGTGCTTAGGGGTCTAGTGTTTGAGGGCTTCGAGAGTTCAGGTTTATGGGATTTGGGGTTTAGGGTAGGTGCAGGGTTGAGGGTTCAGGGTGTTTGGTTCCTGATGTTCCGTTTCCTGCTTCTGGCTACAGCTCTCTTCCTCCGTTCCTCCTGCTCCCTCCTGCAACTCTAAACCCTAAACCCCAAACCCTAAACCTTAAACCCGAAACCCTGAACCCTAACCCTTAAACCCGGAACTCTTAAATCCTAAATCCGAGACCCTGAACCCCTAACCGTGGCCGTGTCGGGCTGTGCGAGGCGCCCAGGCTCTCGCCGGAGATGTCCGTGACTTTCATCCTTCGGCCCGAGATCGAGCCAGACCAAGAGGAGGACCTTTTAAGGCTTCCAGTTAGGGTTCTTAGGGTTTTGCTTTAAGGGTTACTATGAAGGTTATACTATAGGTTACTGTAAGAGGGTTTTGGGTTTATGGGTATAGGAGGTTTGGGGTTTAGGGTTTAGGGGTGGAGGAGTTTAGGGATTTGTGGTTTTGGAGTTTTGGCTGGGTTTAGGGGTCTAGGGTGCAGGGTCTAGGGAGGACTCGGGGTTTAGGGGTTTTGGGGGTGTCGGGGCCCCACAAGGGGTGCAGGGTTTAGAGTGGAGCGTTTGAGGTTTCAGGGTTTAGGTCTTGAGGGAGACCGTCCATCTACCCTCCTTTAGACCCGAAACCTCGATGTTTTCTTGCTTAGCCTTGACCCGGATCGACTCGTGCAAATTTCGAGCTGCTGCTTAGCCACCTGGGGGACCGGTTAGTTTCAAGCTCAGTGCGGAGGACTATGCCCGCATCCGCGAGCGGAAGTCTTTATTTGTGCAAGCTGCTATTTTGCCCCGAGCTCATGCAAGCAGATGCGTGCACTAGTGAGTCAATTGGTGGGCCGTGACTAGAGTTTCTACTTACCGGCAACGTGTCCGAGATAAAGCCGAGGTACACCAACTCCAAGGGGGAGCGGTTGTTGAGGACATCGAGAAGTTCCCTCACCCTGCAACGACTCCTAGGGCTTGCTTGGCCTGCTTCAGGACCCACACGCGGAGCTTGACTGTTCCCAATTCTGTGAGGTGGGCTGCAAGATGCCACTCCTGCCAACCCCTTGGAGATAAGAGGAGCACCCCTTACTTGGAAGGGCAGGGGACTTAGTAAGTAGGTTATAAGTAGGGTTATAATTGGGGTAACTCTATTTAGGGTACTTATAACTCTACTTATAACCTACTTACTAAGTCCCCTGCCCTTCCAAGTATTCCATCGGTTTTTTGTGGAGGCAACTCTACCAGAGCGTGAACCTGGCGCCACTGATGACGGTCCTGCTGAAGCAGGTCCAGATCTGAAGCCTTCAAATGAAAATTAGGGGTATACCTTCTTTTAGGGTCCTTATAATATGGATCCTACTATCTAGGGTGCTAATTAGGGTCACCGATTTTGGTGAACCTGAGCTAGGTAGTATTCTTAGGGAGACCCCTTAAAGGGTACCCCTTCTGAACCCTACTTCTGGCTCTCTTAAAAGGGGCCTTCTTCAGAGGGTCTATATCCCCAAGGGTCCCCCTAATCCTAACTCTCATCAAATCAACGTGTGAGCAGTTTTGGAAATAACTAGACACTCGTCAAGAGATGGTTTCCCGGTCCTTTCACGTCCGAAGGTCGGCGAAGACTTTCAACTTATAGGAGTCTGTAGGATCCAGATCTTCGAGGTAGAGGCTGCACAGTAAAGTTCGGAAAGCTGGAAAGCAATCCGCCGCCGAACCTTCAGCTTGCTATGTGCCCCGAGATCCCATATTGCCTTCAGCACAGCCCGCTGATTATAGAAGCCTAAATAACCAGTAACTTTACTTGCCAAGCCTCCATTTTAAGTATCACGGCCCAAACTTTAATTTCTTTGTCAGACTCCTTCTACATGATTGCATACTATGTGGTATCATACTCTGTGGTGCATTATTTTGGGATATTTACTAAACTGTTTTTGTTGCATTGATCTATTTTGCTTTTTTATATACTAGTACCAGATTACATCATATCACTTCATGTTTGTTATGTAGTAGTATACTATACTATGTTATGATGTGTTATCCAATCTTAGTTCATGTGCTTTAGTACATGACCTTATACCACAGAAGAAGATCTCAGGGTTTAGGGTCTGTTTAGGTGGTAAGGTTTAGGGTTTATTTAGGGTTTATTTAGGGTTTAGGGTTCAGTAGGGTTTATAGTAGAAGCCAGAAAGTTGGAACATAGCTTTAGGAGGATTGGTGCTAGGATCCCTTATACTTTACCTTAACGGCATGAGGATAATGATGTTCCAACTTTCTGGCTTCTACTATATTTCGGTGGTAACATCAGGCTGTGGCAGTGGCGCTCGACCCTACCCAGTCGGCCAAGCTGCCGAGGGATCTTTTGCTGGAGAGCTGCATCCAGGAGCGGGTTTGGATTAGGGACCCGAAAAGCACATAAGCATATGCATCTTATGGGGATATCCCTACCTTGTTGGGCTTCATTATCATAAAGGCGTTTATATGGGATATCCCTATCCTAAGTTTTGCTTCTATGCTTTTTGGGGCCCTATTGGAGTTTTTTCGAAGCCCTGGAATCCTAAAAATCCTAAGCCCTTAACTGTCTAGGGTTTACTATAGGTTAGTTACCAAGATTATTGTCAGGGTTCGGTATTATGAAGATGCTATCATATGTCCTTTCACAGCCCTAGACTAATAATTATTAAGGCCCCTACAGCCTACAGGAGGGGTTTAGGGTACACAGGGTTCATGGGGGGTTACGCTTCGAGGTCTCGGATCTTCCGAAGCCCCTTAATTAAGGAGATACTTGGGAGTTTCCGAAAATTAGGAGTATCTTATTTTGTAGTCCTTACAATGAGGATCCTACTATGTAGGGTACTGTATTTGGCTCCCCTATTGTGGGAATCTCCCACTTCTAATCTTATTCGGGTTCCTAGTATAACTCAATAGGTATTTTCCTTAGTTACGGGCGTTGGAATCTGTGGGGAGCCGCAGGTTCTGTACTCTTGGGGCCCGAACAGGCTCTACTGTTGGTGATTTAGATGTATTTAGAAGTTACAGTACAATATACCCCAACACCCTCTTGGAACCATTAAGGCCCGTATCTTCCATGCACTCTCAAACGGTTGTGGCGGCCTGTGCGCACTTCGTCTGGGTTCCTCTGATTCCTTTGAGACTTCCTGGTGTCCGTAACATCCCTAAGCCCTCAACCTTACACCCTAAACCCTGAGCCTTAAACCCTAAACCCCAAATCCAAAATCCTAAACCTTAAACCCTACACCTTGCGAGATTCTCGGTACGTTCCGGAGACGGTGCGTGGAACACGCAACCAAGAATTGTTTAGCCCGGAGCTGAGCTTGGACCAGGTCTGGCGGCCATCGCTCGGTGTGGCGAATAGGGTATAATATAGGGGCCTTAAGCAATTAGAACACGGTTTTGGGGGGCATATTATACTATAAGTCTCGTAAGGAACCCACTCAAAATGGTATTGGCAATTGTTCAGGCCACTTTGTTCGCAACTGGAGTCTCATGCATACCCCATGCTGCCATGAGATGGTGCATGGGTCATGATGACAATGGTGGTGGTGATGAAGATGACTAGACGATGGTATACGTGATGCTTGGAGGCGGGTCATTGAGAGCAGGATCGCGATGTCTCTTACGGCGACGGCGAATTGAAAGTTCCTGATGCTGATGCTGTTGAGGCGGCTCGTGCTTTCGAGGCTGCTTTTGCTGCGGATAAAGATCTTCAGGGGCTGATGCTGGTGCTGTGATGCTAAGTTCTTCTTCTGATGCTGATGTCTGGTGATGATGGTATTGGTGGCGGGTGCTGGTGCTGGTGCGGGTGGTGGTCCTGGTGCTGGTGCTGGTGCTGGTGCTGGTGCTGGTGGGAACCGGGACGAGGTCAATCCGACCATAGTGCTGCTGCCGCTGCTGCTACCTCACCGTGGCAAAGTTGATAATGGCGTCGGGCGCCAACGGTGCCCGCGGGGCGGCGTTGGGGGTCGTGGTGGCGGTGGTGGTGGTGGTCGTGATCATGACACCTCAGACATGACTCTCCTTCGATGCACGAAGGAGTTAATTGTCAGCAAGCAGTTTTGAAGATGCGGCCTGAGGTCACGAATCGGCAATTATTGCTGTTTCCTCTTTACGTGTCGACCTCAGATCCAGGTATTGCCTCCTCAGGGGTTCGAAATGTGCATTTCGTGCAGCAAGGCGTGCAACATCACATCAAGGAATGAGGTCGAGGCATTTGTTCAGAAGTGTCGCCAAGAGCCATCCCACGTGGAGCACTACTTAAGCCCCGAAGCACGACGAGTTCAGCATGCAGCTAAGGTTACCTGAGAGGATACGTGTAACATGAGCCCTAAGCCATAAACCCCTAAACCCCACTACTGAAGGACTGTGTAACATGAATTGGCTCTTCCAGCTTCCCTTACGACCATCCGTATCGAAGCCTTATAGTATTATAGAACCCCTAAAGTATACCCTCATATAAGAACCCTTAGAGGAACACTATACTACGCTGAAAGTCTACCCTTATTAATAGCTATACTACCCGTAGAATATATCTTTGTATAAGAGCCCTTAGAGGAAACCTTCCGTAGCCTTAAAGCATACCCTTTTAAGAGCCCCCCCGTAAACCCTAAACTTCTGCAGTACCTTTAATTAAAGTGTTGCGCGCCTCCTTTAAAGTGCAGCGGGCCGGGGGCCCCCGGCTCTCCAGGTCTTGGCAGCACGCAAGCTGCTCTATGCTCTGACAAACTCCAAGGAGGACAAGGCTTGGGTCCCCATCTTCTCCCGAGGCCCCCTAAAGGCTTTGTCATAGTTGGGTAACACTTTACATTTTTATGGGTACTTAAACCCACTAAGGAATAAAATGTACATTTTTATTTCTCCCGAGGCCCCTTAAAGGAACCCATGTGGGAGTTTCCGAAAATAGGGGACCCTGATATAGTACCCTAACTAGTAGGATCCTTATTATAAGGACCCTAACATAAGGTACCCCTAATTTTCGGAAACTCCCATATGGATCCCTAGAAGGACGCCCTGAAAAGGAACCCCTAAAAAGACCCCTTGAAGGAGCCCCTGAAAGGAAAAGGGAGCCACCCTAAACCCCTGAACCCCCCTAAAACCTAAACCCATCTTCTCCCCGAGGCTCCCTGACCTAAACCCCTGAACTCCTAAAGCTTAAACCCATCTTCCTGATGAGAGAAGGCTGGAACCCCTGGAGGAGCTCATGAGGTTGTCCCTTCAAGAACGCGAAAAAATGCACAGCCCATGAGAATGGTAATTCTATTAGGGCTTAGGGTTTAGACTTTCGGGTCATTCTTCTACCAGTACATGTTTTGTAAGATACGTACACCTTTTTCCAAGGGGTTCTACGTGTTGGATCCTCCCGGGGGTAGCTGTGTCCGGCATGTTCCAACACAAAGCGCACGCCCTGCCGGTGTCCAGCTACGAAGAGACCGGTGCAAGATCTTTTATATTCCACTAAGACTAAGTCACACGCTATTCCCCTTAGACACGCCAAACCCTATACTTTCCTAAAGCCTATAAGCCAAAATCCTTAAAAGAAACCCAAAACTTTGCCCTAGACCCTAAACCCAACAAGGAAGCCCTGAACCCCAAACCCAGAGATCCCTAAGATCCCTAAACCCAAAGATCCCTAAACCCTGAGCCCGAAGGCCCCTAAACCCGAAGATCCCTAAGCCCAACAGTCCCTAAACCCTGAACCGTGCTTGCCAGGCTCAGGTGGAAGAGTCCCTGCATCGGATCTTGAGGCTTTTTTGGGACCGTCGGCTCCAGAGCCGTAGAAGTCAGTCCACAAGGGATCCTATAAGGGTTCTATCAGGGTCTAATTTTAGAAGGGGTTCTTTAAGGGTTCTATAGGGTTCTATCAGGGTCTTATTAGAAGGGGTTCTTTAAGGGTTCTATAGGGTTCTATCAGGGTCTTATTAGAAGGGTTCTTTAAGGGTTCTATAGGGTTCTATCAGGGTCTTATTAGAAGGGTTCTTTAAGGGTTCTATCAGGGTACTATAAGGGCTGTAGAAGTCAGTCTTTTGATGGGTTTAGGTTTTAGGTGTTGGGTTGAGGGTTTAGGTCCCAAAACTCAGAAATTTTAACCCTAACCGCTTATGCCTAGAGTGTAGGGTTTAAAGTGTTGAGTTTATGGTGTTTAGGTTCGGCTTGGGAAAAGCGGGCTCATTGTGATCACGAAGCGAATCCTCGAAGTTCTGCTGTTTCTTTCGCTTATTCAATCTCAGGGCTCCGGCTCCAAAGGTGGGATGAAGGTACGTGGAGGGCCGGGGGACTTAGTAACTGGCTATTTTAGGGACTTATAAGTACCATAACCCCAATTAGGGTCCCTCTTTGGGTGCTCATAAGTCTACTTACTACCTACTTACCAAGTCCCCCGACCCTCCAAGTAGGTAGGGTAATCTGAAAGATGAGTCCTCATGTAGTCGCTGCAGACCCAAAGCCCTAAACCGCGAAAACCCCTGGGGCTGCTGTGTTGAAGCCTTCCCTTTGTCTTAGGGGTACTTAGAAATAATTTTTAATCTTTGGTTACTATAATCCCTAAGAGACAGCCAAAATTATAATTTTTGCTAGGGTTCTAAGTTCAGTATAGTTGTAGGAATATCACCTTTACCGAAGTTATGGTTAAGTGGCTTTTGGGGCTCCTCAAGCCAGGGGATATTCTGTATATAATATTCGAGTGTAATATGTATTCCAAAGCCCTAATTATTCAGAAAGCGAGCTACGGCCTTTGTAGTAGACCCTAAACGCCCTGAACCCCGTAAACAGGATGCCAATCCACAGTGTCATGGTGGCCCTGTACCCACGGGCCGGGAGCTGAGATTTCGTTTTCGCGCTAAACTCCATAGGTCCCGACGTTTCTACCCTCAACATAAACAACACCCGAAGAGCCAACGCATAAGCCCTGACTGATCAAGAGGTATACCCTTTGCCGGCAGATTCACCCGAGGGGGTGGATCTTCCCAGGCCCAACAGCCAATAGTTGTCTGCCTGACCTTTCGGCTTACATAGTTTTGGGGGGTTGGGAAAGGCTTTCATAAGGTTAAGCAGACACCAAAAACATGGGCGACGACAACACAAAGTCTTTGCGGGGAGTTTATCAGGCCTTCATTCTAATGCCGGCTCTTTGTCAGATCGTGAGGCTTCGACAATGGGCTGAGGGCTTATGACTTGGAAGTTTGAGACAGTCCCGCGTGGCCATCATGGGCTCGCGCTTGGCAGCTGTGCCTGACTAATGCACGTTCAGGGTCAAGGTTTGCGGGTTTGCTGTTAATATTCTGTTCAGGTAGTGAGGCTGTGATTTCCAGGATATTTCCGGTGCATGTTGCGCGTTGATATCGAGCCATGCATGTGTGATCACGAATCACGAGTGTGCGCTGCTATCAATGTAAAGTATAGCAGCAAAAGGATCATGTGTCAATTTTTCCGTGTCTGTGCCAGGGCAAGCGCTGCCCTGGAGGACGTTGTGACGAGGCTTGCGGAAGCACCGTGAATCAGGGAATTGACGAGAAGAGACTAGCAATTGTCAAGTCCTTGTTCCCACAACTGGGGCGAGAGGCGAGATTGTCCCATCATTGGATCCATAAATGCAGTCTTGAAAGCTTACTTGCGATGTTTCGTTCTCAGCTGTTCGATGTATCCTGCAAAGGGGTGCCGCGCCGGCGCACCTCATCACCAACGGCTTGGGCATGTGGTATCATCAGACAGGCGCAACGTGGCTTCTCTGTTGGCAGCTCTCAGTCAGTCAGGCGAGACTTGGAGGTTTCCAGGCTACCAGTTATTTTATTTGCATGTGTTTCTTCACAGTTCTTCGATCTGCCAAGCTCTGACTCTTGCAGCTGTAGCAGCAAGCTGCCAGAGTAGGCCTTTACTTGACGGCTTAGACTAGAAGCCCTGCAACGTGTTGACGAGTTGGGTGAACATCCATGTTACCAGTTGAGAGCCCGGAACACCAAGTAAGCTGAAGTTAGGTCATGGTGCTTATGTCTCGGTGATGGGGCATACCCCGCCATCAGTGGATCACCCTGGCCTAAACCTGCCGAATTGTGGAGTTGCAGCAACAGAGTCAACAAGGCAGGCGGGATGCAGAGAAGGCGGTCGTCCGTGAGTTGGACTGTACAAGATACCTAATACCCTAATTGTTTAGACCCCTAACCCACAAACTTTGACCTGCGGCATGAGATTTGTGTGCTCGAAGTACCGGGGACACGCACCCTTTCAGTTGGTGGTTGCAGACTTCGGACAGGCACATTACTCCTTACCCCGAGTTTCCTGCCGTAATTACCCTCATCGAAGCCCCGACTGGAAACCCTCCCTTCAGAAACCCCGAAACTAATCTTAGGGGTACTTAGAAACAATTTTTAATTTTTGGTTATTGTAACCCCTAAGAAACAGCTAAAATTAAAATTGTTGCTAGGGTTCTAAGTTCAGTATAGAAAACTAATCGTTACATTAGAGCTCTGTAGAGCCCGCTTAGTATCCTTGAAGGGAGCCATTGTTAATATTCGGGACATTAAAGCTCCTTTTTAGTAGACATTAAGGGAACCATTTATAGTAGTCGTTATTTTGGTATCCTTTACGGGAACCATTTATAAGAATCCTTACATTAGGGCTCTGTATCCTTCAAGGGAACTGAAACTAATCGTTACAGTAGGCCTCCCTTTTAGTATCCTTTGAGAGCGCCACTATTAATTAACACCCCATTGCAAGTAATATCCTTTAAGGGAGCCATTTATGGTAATCGTTACATCAGTGCTCTGTACTGCGAATTTAAGTCACCATAATCGAGGTCTATAGTAAACAATACGATTTCCTTATTATTGTAGCTTGAATCAAATCCCTTAACCCCGGAACCTTAAAGTATGGTAACTTAAATTAAATCCTATATTCTCAATCCTTCAACAAGAACCTAGACTTGTGCCTTGGAGGCGTCCCCGAGCGAGAAGAAGAACTCCGTGAAGCTGCCTCAGAGCTTGCGCAGAGGCAGGGGCGATTATAACAATATCTATTCGCATTATTCTTATCAGTATTAATAGTATGACTGCTATTCTTCTTACTATTAAGCATAGAACAATAGCTGTTAGTATTAACAACCTTTGTATTTGCATCTGCTTATTATTATGGTTTATTTTTGTTATGATTATCTTGATTACTGCTAGTACCATTATGGTTATGAATATGGTGATTCTATGATTAAAAGGGTAGGGCTATTGGAAGGGAGACTAAAACGACGTTGTATGAGGGTTGCTATAAGGCTCGGCATAGACCCACACAGATGAACAAACCTACTACAGCCGAAGAGCCTAATATAGGGATACAGGGCCTTTCCCCTACCATAAGTATAGTATAATGGGCCCCCAAACCCCCATTCTAATTCTCAAGGCCCCTGCCTACTATAGATCCCCATGGACCCCTTCAAAAGGGAACCCTATTATAATCCGTAAGACCCCTATATTAAACTCTGCAGCCCGATGCCCTGACAGGATCCGCGAAGTTCTCCAGCCCAGCCAGGCATCTTTGGGCACAGCGGGGCACAGCTATAGTCTCCTTGGGAATTATTCCTCTGTATTTTCGTTCATATAAAACCCAAATGAATATTGAACATAATAGTCTTGTTTTGGTTCCAAGGGGGGGTATAGACAGAAGGGTGGCGACTTAAGCGTTGAGGGCCAAAAGATTCCACGACGAATAGACGAACCTTGGGTCATTCAGTATCGAAAGACAATGTGATACTTTTGTTGCGCACTTGGACTCTATTGTCCCATATCTCGTCAACCTGCGGGTGTAGACAGGCGTACAGCTTTGTTCGATGCTCACAGACGGAATAGACGGTCTTGTCAACAATTCGAGAAGGAAAAACAAGGCTTACGTTTTGCAAGCTCCACCACTGTTTTAGTTCATCTATTCTGGTATGCCCGTCTGCCTGCCTAGCAGTCTGTCTGTCCAGCCGTGTGTATACCTGTAAAACTACACGTGTAGTTCTATGTATATGCTTATGTCCTGTCTAGGTATATGTATATTAATCTGTTTGTACATGTATATGTACATGTACGTGTATGTAGGTAGGTAGGTAGGTAGGTATGTCCGTATGTATGTGTGTTTGTGTCTGTTTGCTTATATGCATGCAGGTATGTATGCATCTATCGGTATGTGTGTCTGTGTCTGTATGCATACGTGTATGTATGTCATGTAGGTATGCATTCATGTATGTGTGCCAGGTCGAAAGATAGGTCGGCAGTTGAGTAGGATAGACTGGCTGGAGAGAGATGGAGAGACAGACGGGTAGACAGGCAGGTGTACGAAATAGGAGCATCAATGGACCCCTTTACACCCCTAGAGTATAGTAGAGTAGAGCCTACACAGCCCTGCAAAAGTTCTACAAGCCTCACAAAGGAACCCCAATGTTCTGAACCCCTCCCGCCCCCAACCACAGCCCTAGACCCCAAACTCCCTAAACCCTGAACCCTAAGCCCTAAACCGTACCTTTGCAATTGAGGATTGGGTGCCCTTGACCGATCTCCCGCGGCTGCCGACAGCCGCTCTCGAGGTGGCGGCAGTGCTGAAAGGGATCGAACATATAATGACAAAATTGTAACTGTAATCGTACTAAAAACCAGAGCAACACTTATGAAGAGCCCTTTGAATGTCTTCGGATTCTTGTGCTTTAAAATGTGCTTAAGGGTTCAGGAATAAGTAGTAATCGTGTTCCCTAGAACCCCAGGGGTCCCATTTTTCAATTCGGGTTATATGTCAGCATGAGTATTTTACTCCAGTATGTCCCTAGTTTCGAACTCCCATGACCCTTTGGGCAGAGAGGTTATAGCACGTCGGTATGGCTGTTATCCCGCATGATGGTCCTAGTTAGCTCCCATGGTCCTTTCGGTAAGGCCCTAAATCCCCCCCTATAGGGCCGGGTTACAATCATACCAATTACGGGGGCCCATTTATGACCCCCTAAACCTCATAGGGATCCTTAGGGGTGTAGGGGGGAGGGGTGTAGGGGACTATATTTCCTTAAATAGGCCTTACTAGTCCTGATTATGGGCCTTAAGGCCCCCTACCCCCCCTCCCCCTACACCCCTAAGGATCCCTATGATAAACCCCAAGCACCCAAAAAGACAGGAGAAGATCGGTCCAGAATCCACCCCCAGCGGACGACCTCGATACGGAAGCCGGGCACTCACCCACGCCTTTACGGTTTAGGGGCTTTCGCTACTTCTTGGCGTTCACAAGAAGTAGTAATAGCAATACCCACTTCTTTAAATAGTTTTACTAGGAAGTATATACCCCGAATAGATTCAGGCCCCTGTATTCTGTTCCACACAATAGTTGCTTGATCCCTTTGCCTTGTCATTGATACCTGGTTTGTTGTGTTAATGAGTATTTCAGCAGATTGAGCAGGGATCCTAGTGTAGACAATGATTCCCAAACGTAAGAAACCCCGCCAACCAGCAAAAAGGATTGAATTCACGCCTCTCTGTCTCTGTCTCTGTCTCTCTCTCTCTCTCTCTCTCTCTCTCTCTCTCTCTCTCTCTCTATGTATATATATATATATATACATATATACATATATATATGTATATACACACCATTTGTGTATAGAAGTATATAGACATTGAGACAGATTTGGGGTCTGTAAAACTATGTCTACCGCTCCGACCTCTTAGGTCGCACGCCTGGCATCAACGGGTCGCCACCCAGCCTCCCCATCGGAAGCTTGGTCTTCAAGGCTTCCTTAAATGACCCCCTAAAGGAACCCATGGGGAGTCGAAGGCTTCCTGAAATGAACCCCTAAAGGAACCCATGTGGATTCTATAAGGATTCAGGGTTTAGGGACTACTATAAGAGAAGGGATTTGGGGTTATTTGCGGTACAAGTACGACAAGGAACCTTCAGGCTACTGTTGGGGCGCTCACAGGTACTGCTTTGCTTTGCAAAGAGTCCAAGGTGGAAGAGTTCTGTCAGCTTTCTGCCATTACCACAGGGTCACTGCTGTAGTTACCATAGGGTTACGACTATCACTACCACAGGGTTACTACGATAGTTACGAAAAGGCCATGACTGCAGGCTTAATAACCTATGGCTCAGTAGAAGGGCAGCGAGGGTTGGTGCAGGGACATGCCTGGTATGCACGATGTAAGTCACATGGCACGAAGCATCCTAGAGACTCGAGGGTTCAAGACCCTGAATCCCGAACCTCAAACCCTACACCCTGAACCCCAAACAACCCTTGACCTTAGGCCCTACACCCTAAACCCTGAACCCTCTTGGATCCTAAACCCTGCATCCTAAGCCCCAAACCCCAACTTGCGCGATTCCAACGAGGAAAGGGTGCAGAGCAAATCAGCTGGCCCGAGAAGGCCGCCTTTAATTGCAAGGTGTGGCATGGAACATAACAAGAATGGTACTGATAACAGTATTAAGAAATGATAACAGTAAGAAGAAGAATAGCAAGCAATTGATATGATAATTGCAATAATAATAAGACTAGCTGTAATACGACAATTGTCATAAGCATAGCAAAATTAATGAGAACGAGGATTATAAACACTTCGTACTTCGTATTGCTAGTGGCCACGGATTTACCATTACTAATCTACTTCATCAGTAACCTTGCTACGGTTTTTACTTCATGGCCAGCAGTATTGGTATTCTTACTATTACTCTTGGTATGAGTGTTTCCTGTGAGTGGCAGCTCATGTGGGGTTTGGGCTTAGGACGCTTTAGGGCCTACTTGGAGGATCATGGGACTTAGTAAGTAAGCTTATAAGTACCCTAATTGGAGTTATAAGTATAGTTACCTTATTTATGACCCTAGTTACTAAGTCCCATGATCCTCCAAGTAGGATTCCCCTAGGCTCCTTATGTTGTGGTTCCGGTCGTGCTGGGCTCATCGGCGGCTCAGCGTGTTCATCGTGAGATCCATGGCACTACCCGGAGACTGCAAAACCCCTTGATTAATGAATATATCTTAAATCATATTATTAGTTCTTTTGCATTTTAAGGTACATTCCTTTATTAACTAAAGGGCTTTGGAGTCTCTGGCTAGGCAGTAGTGGTAGGCAGTGAGCCACTGTGCAGGACGTTCTGAGAAAGGATGGCTTGGGGTCTGAATGTGTGTGACTGTGTGCATACCCTAAACTATCATGACCACTTCTTGTAGATTCTTATTATAATCCCTAGTCTAGAACTTCTTGGGGCCCAACAAAAGATGTAGGTTTTGGTAGTTGGAGGGTAGAGTTTCAAAGGGGAAAAGGAGGGACCCTTAATGGGGACCCCTACCCTATAATGGGTATATAATGGCTATATTATGGGTATATACCTAGGGGTCCTTATTAGGGGTCCCCCCTTTTACCCTTTGAGAGTTTCCACCTTGTCGGAGTTCGGAACTGGCTCTAACCATGTCTTCTTTCTTAGAAGCTGGTTGAGGTTCTGGAGGGTTTTTGGAAGGTTTCGTGATTTCCAGGAACTTCAGGGTGTAATATAGGAGCCTACTGTAAATGACTACCAATACTAGTTAGGGGGTTCCTTACAATAGTAATTGGAGTATAGCGGGCACCAAAACCCTATTCTAATTATTAGGGCCCCCTGTATTATTACTTGAGTGTACGCGCTTGACACATGAACTGGGAGCATGCAAGGTTCGTCTTGTTCAGACTGGACCTGCGACACAATTGCCAGTGGATAGTTTCTGAAGCGTAACAACACCTCCATGTGGTGAACTCATCCCGACCGCTGAGCACCTCACAGCACCCTTGTAGAACCCAAACTGGCTTTGTGTCAGGTGATGCTTTCAGCGATCTTCGTAGAAGACGCTGGGGACGGAGCCCGAGACATCCAAACTTGTGGCACAGCAAGGGCGGTGTTGTATATATGTAATTTACACCTGCAAATGCAACACACACACACACACACTCATACACTCTCTCTCTCTCTCTCTCTGTCTCTCTCTGTCTCTTTCTCTACATACATGTGTATGGTAGCTGTTCGCTAAATCAATAGACAGATGCATATAAATGCCGTGTGAATATGTGAAAGACCACCTCAACAATTTGAAAGACTCTTGACGCCAGTCAAAGCTCCCGGGCAAATCCAAAACCCCAAACTCCAAACCCTGAAAGCCCTAAAACCTTCAACCCTAAACCCTGAAAGCCCTAAAACCTTCAACCCTAAACCCTTAAAGCCCTAAAACCCTTAAACCCTGAACCCCTAAACCCTGAACCCTAAACCCTGAAAGCCCTAGAACCCTTAAACCCTAAACCCCTAAACCCTGAACCCTGAAAGCCCTAAGACCTTAAACCCTAAACCCCTAAACCCTTAAAAAAAAAACTGAAAGCCCTAAAACCTTAAACCCTAAACCCCTAAACCCTGAACCCCTAAACCCCGAACCGACCCGGATGCTGCGGAGAAAGGGCCATTGCAGTTTAAAAAGAAAAAACCACATTCAAAAAATAAAAACCACATTAAAAATCAAAAACCACATTAAAAACTAGAAAAACCACATTAAAAAAGAAAAACTCGAACCGTAGCGACTGCCAGGTCACCGAAGGGTCCTATGCTGACTGGGTCATTTTCCTTCAGGACGGGTTTAGGGGTTTAGGGTTTAGGATCTGATGGCATGTCAGTCGAGAAGTTTCTCTCGTTGGTTGTTCTTCTTCATTTTTGCTACTGTCATCATCTTAATTGTTATTGTTATTATTGATTTTTGTAATGTTATCTTTATCATACTAAGTATAGTGGTATTCTGGTTATTGTTTTTTTGCCGTATTCGTTATAGTGTGATTCTAGTTATTGTTGTTGTTTGAGGTGGCATGTCTTTTGACGGGTCCCGGGCAGCTCAGTGGCTCTGGACCCCAAACCCTAAACCCTAAACGGGCAGGGACGCCTGGAGGGTTCAGGCGGAACCTCGGGGCCTTCAAGTCCAAACTTGCAAAGACGGTTTGGGGGTTTTAGGGGTTTGGGGCTGTAGAGTTTAGGGGTTTAGGGTTTAGGGGCTTCGGGTTCAGACTTGCAAGGACAAGAATGACTGTACAAACTCACGATACCCGTGTTTGCACAACATGAGACCGCAGGGCCTGTAGACCGCATGCCATACCCCAAGGGTCCAAGTACCCAATAGTCATATAATAAATAATCTCTAACATCCTAATATACATAACTACTATCCTAAAGGCGAGTACCTAATTATTGGGTCCTTTGGACCCTTAGGGATACAGCAGTCTAAATAGTCATATAATCTCCAATATCCTAATATACATAACTACTATCATAAATTGGGGCGTGTTTACGAACTCCGGGAAAAGTGATGCGGATTGTGGGGCCGTCGATGGTCGAAGATGTAGTTTGGTATGAAGACTACTGTATCCCTAAGGGTCCAAAGGACCCGATAATTGGGTACTCGCCCCAAACCCCTCAACTCCGCACCCTTAAACACTTAACCCCTACACCCTAAGCTTTGAATCCCTAAATCCCTAAACCCCAACCCCTCCTTTCTTTGTGCAAGCCCCAATTGGGCAGGGAGTCGGCAGAGTGAAAGTCCCACTGCACCGTTAAAAAAAAAAAAAAAGCAACCCCTGAGCCGCTAGAACCACTAAAGTAAAAGCCAGAAAGTTGGAATATGATTATCCTAAACCCTTTATGGTAAATTATAGGGGATCCTACCCTGAAACCATATTCCAACTTTCTGGAGTTCCCTATATGCCTTGGAGAGGAGCAGATCGCTCAGCGAGTCTCTGAAAGCAGCTGACACGAGGCCGAGATCTCGGGAGCAGGAAGTCTCATGGTCTGAAATCTTAGGGTTTCGAGTTCAGGGGTTTGAGGGCTTAGGGGTTTAGGGTGCAGGGTTGGGGATTTGATCTTGAGAGTTCTGCAGTGTACATTTTGGGGAACTGGTGCAGGCTGAGCATCTGCCGAGCTGGCCCTTCGGAAGGCACGCAGTTGGCGGTGCTGCCCAGCCATGCAGCTGTCATGCCTGTAGTTCACTAGTTCGTGGTTGAGATAGGGTTAAAGATGTATTTTTTATTCCTTATTGGGTTTAGGTACCCATAAAAATGCAAAATGTTACCCAACTATGACAAAGTTCAAGGCTTGCAGCAGTTGCATGGGGTGTACCCATTGCTGAAGATGCGTATGTGCCCTGTCTTTCTTTCATGCCATCAAAGAATGAACCCACACCCCGAAGCTCTAAACCCCAAAAAACCTAACTGCCAGGGAGCAGGGAGAAAGGGCACAACCCAGCTTTTAAAACCAAGACCTGTGTTGTTACTACTATGATCGTTTGGATATTATTAACACAACAAACCTAGCTGGCGTTTAGGGTTTAGGGCTGCCCTTCCCGGATTCTCGAGCTTTGCCAGTTCAGCCGATGATCCGAGTCTGACGTTGAGCCCGGCCTCCCCTGAGACGCAAAAGCGCCCTTCAAAGGGAGGGCCGGAAGAAGATGAGTAGGTCTTCTGTAGATATGGGAGCTTCAGAATCATAGTAACTCTAAGGTTACTATGATGTATGGAGGTGTCAGAAAATTTGGGACCCTACTAAGGCCCTAATATGGGGTTTAGGGTCTGTAGACATAGGAGTTTCAGAAACCTATACCGTTGTCATAAGGGTTACTATAAGGTTACCATAACATTTGGGGAGTTTCAGACAAATGGGCTTATGAGGGCACCAGAAGAGACGGGACCCCTGAAGCCTAAATACTACGATCCTCATGTACGGTATATGGATTCCGAGATAAGGTATGCTTGATCTTTTGAAACTCCCATATGTAGTAGCACAGCTCGTAACCGGCAATACGTGTTGTAGAGTCATTGACGAAGTGCATGTCCTGAGCAAGCAACCTTGTTGGCAGGTTATTCCAGCGTTACCCAGAAGTTGCTTGCACAGGATGCAGATCTGTCCTGGGTACCCGTCCTCGGATGGATTTAGATTCTGTTGAGCTAGAGCCACCAGAGCTTCTTCGAGCATCTCCGAAGGGAGTGCCCGGCTTCGCGTCCGATCCACGTGCATAGGAATGATGGCTCAACAACCGTTTCAGCGGCACAGGCGTGGGCTAGGGCGGCTAGGATGGACTACTGGAGGATTCGAGCCTTGGTCATGTCCAGTTGCGAGTACACCTCACAAGTATCCGGTCTGATAGAGATCTAAAGAGGTTATCTCTGTCGCTCGTAGTTGTGCTTGAGAGTTCGATGCTCCGCTCATTACTTGGTGACGGGGCATCGCAGTAACTTGAGCAGCTTGCCTTTCTGTCAGGGGCATTACCGCCAAGGGCAATCTCTGGCTTATGCTACCGAGCGCATGTCACTCCCGACGCCGTTCATGTTTTTTAGGAGCGCCACAGAGCATGTGTAAGTGCGCCAGCTGAAGTCCATTGTTACAAGCACTTTGCGAATTTCGGAAAGCCCATCTGAAGTTGCCATGTCAGTCCACGTGGATGTTGCGCTCTTGAGTGGTCGGACTGAAACCATAGAGGTGGAAGCTGGCTCTTCGATCGATGCTTTGGCAGAAAAGGCTCAGGCGCTGCTGAGCGTCGGCCGCTGCCGAGTGGCAAATTCTGCAGGGCAGATCTTACCAGGGACAGAAACTGGGTTCTTGTTAAGGAACGTAAGCAAAGTGACCATTATAAGGAAACCAGATTATTTACTGTAGATCCCTATGATGGTAACTTAAGCTAAACCCCCTAACCCTTAAACCCTTATAGAACCCTTCATGGAACCCTAAAATTATGGTAACTTAAGTTTAAAACCCCCTTAAGAAGAGCCCTTTTCATTAGTGTTTGGTTTTAATAAGGGGATGCGAATATAGAAGCGGCAAAAGGGCGCTACTCAGGAACCCTTATAAAACCCTCATATTACCCTAAAGAAGAGCCCAGGAGACGGTACAGGGAGCCGGTCTGAAGTCTGGAGATGTCGTGACTGTACACACGCAACAGGTCGAAGTGGCCTGTGCGCGGTGGACGCTGGGCATAAGAGCCCTCCCCATAAACCCTGAACCCTGAACGGTAATCCTAATCCTTTACACCCTAAACCCTAGACCCCAAGTGGCCTGTGCGCGGTGGAAGCTGGGGTACTTCTTAAGTGGCTTAGCTTATCATAACTTAGGGTTCCATGCAGGGTCTAGGGGTTAAGGGGTTTTAGTTAAGATACCATAACTTCGGGTTCCATTAAGGGTTTAGGGGTTAAGGGACTTAGGATAAGTTACTATAACTTAGGGTTCCATTAAGGGTTTGGTGGTTAAGGATTGATTTTAAGCTACTATAGGGATCTACCGTTGACAAGAACCCAGGAAGTGCGATGCTTCGGCGTTTGCCGCAATCCAGGGCGATGCGTCCGTGCTGACCTGGGGAGATCCAGACAATGGAGGAGATTGCTCCGATGTCCAAGACCGGCTCCTGAATGTCCAGAGAATCCAGGCTTCCCTCTTCGCCTTTGCTGCCATCCTTGGCGACGGAAGTGCTGTGACTTGGGGCAATCCAAACTGTGGCGGCGACAGCGCGGCAATCCAGGAATGGGTCTTGGGGCCCATTAAACTATAATTAGAATAAGGAACCCCCAAACCCTTTTCTAGAACCTGGTTGTAGCCCCTATAGTAGCCTTTATAGACCACCTTTGAAGGAAAGCCCAAAATAGTCTTGGTAACTATCTAGGCCCAGTAGATTAATCCTCCAAACCCCTTGATTCAGGAATATAGGTTAAATGATAATAGGATCCCTAACATGATTTAAGGTGTATCTGCTTGAATCAAGTGGTTTTGGAGTCTCTGGACACCCTCATAGATCCCTTATCGTAGCCATATAGACCCCTTTAAAGGAACCCTTTCAGGGTATCTTCCTCAGTCAAAGGGGTTCTGTCTGGAGCCTCTGGGCAGGAGAAGCTCCAAGATGTTCGCGACATCCAGTCCAACACGGAGGTCTTTGCTGCTTTGCTCGGCAATGGAAAAGTTGTGACTTGGGGCAACCCGGACTTCGACAATAGCAGCGCGGTGTCAGAGCGGCTTCAGAAGGTCCAGAAAATCCAGGCCAACAAGTATGCCTTCGCTGCCATTGTGGAAGATGGGTCTGTAGTGACTTGGGGGCTTCCTGACTCCGGCGGAGACAGCTCCGCTGTAGAAGGACAGCTGAAGCACGTGAGGCATATCCAGGTTTCTGATGAAGCGTTTGCTGCGATCCTGGCTGATGGGTCTGTCGTCTCTTGGGGCAACCCCGAGTTTGGAAGTGACAGCAGTGCGGTTCAAGAGAGGTTAAGGGATGTGCAACATATCCAAGCGACACGCAGCGCTTTTGCTGCTATCTTGGCTGATGGATCCGTGGTTACTTGGGGCCCGGAGGAAGCAGGTGGAGACAGCAGTGAGGTGCTGAAACAGCTGAGACTGGGTTCTCGTTAAGGGTCTAAGCTAAGTTAAGGTTACCACAATAGGATTCTATAGTAAATCATATGGTGTCGTTATTATGGTAACTTGAAAGTTAAGCCCATTTAACAAGAATCCAGGAGACATGTCCAGGAGATTCAAGCTTCGGACGATGCCTTTGCTGCCATCACTGCTGGTGGCCGGGTCGTAACATGGGGCAGCGAAGAGGGGGGCGGGAACAGCGATGCTGTGCAGCACCAGTTGATGCACGTACAGAAAATTCAGGCTTCTGCCAGCGCCTTTGCGGCTATCCTTGGCGATGGATCTGTCGTCACATGGGGAAATCCTGCCTGTGGTGGTGATAGTAGCAGTGTCCAAGACCGGCTAAAGAATGTGCAGCACATCCAAGCTTCCAATTCTGCCTTCGCTGCGCTGCTGGGTGATGGCTCCGCTGTTTGCTGGGGCGAGCCTCGGCAAGGGGGCGACGCTGGCGATGCTGAGTTGAAAGAGCTTCATGCGATCCAGGCTGGCGAACAAGCCATGGCCGGGCTTCTCAAGAATGGTTCGCTTCTGGCCTGGGGCGATCGCCGTTTTGGAGGCTACCTCGGCGCAGCTGATCCAACCTGGTACCACAGGCCAGTATTTGCAAATGACTCTTCCATAGAGCAGTAAATCTCAGAGAGGGACAAGAGCCGAACGGGACGCTGAGTCCGGTCGCCCGGAGGCGCTAAGCGCCAAAGGGGAGTGCCGGGAAGCTGGGTCCTAAGGCTTTTTGTACAAAAACCCTGCACAGGCAACTCTGGTGGCAAGGTTTCTAATGTTCTACAGATTCTATAGTTTGGTGGAAAGCGATCTATCTCAGAGGATTGCAGAAAAGACTTCCAACCCCCTATGAAAAGGTTCTGTGACTAGGGAATGGAGGTTTAGTTTTCATTGAGAAGGTTGTTAGTGCCAATGTCCTTGAGCAATGCCTTTGTCAATGCCAAGAAGAAGGTGTTCTGTATTGGTCAAGCTAGGACCCTAAAGCCCTAAACCCCTAAACCCCTAAACCCTAAACTAAACCCCTAAACCCCTAAAACCCTAAACCCTAAACCCCTAAACCCTAAACCCCTAAAACCCTAAACCCTAAACCTACATTCGCCGAGGTCATAGGAGTCCTCCGATCGACTAAGACGAGAACGGACTCTTGAGGTTCTATCTGACTCTATCTTATCATTTGTATGTGAATTTCCGAAAAGAAGGGGTACCTCATTTGGGAGTCCTTATAATAAGGATCCTACTATCTAGGGTACTGTATTAGGGTCTTGGGTACGGCCCACCCACTCAGTAATAGTTGAATAAGATTCACAATATAGATATAGTAGGACGTTAATAGCAGCCCTATTATATAGACTCTTCCTGTATGGGGGCAGTACCTAGCCTATGACCTGTCTCTTTGCACGTGCATGTTCTGTGCAGCAGATGTGGAATCAGACCCGCTTGGCTCCCAGCCTCGAGCAGCAGACAATGTCGCAAGCGCTTGCCTTTCTTGTAGTCTCTTGTGGAGTTTTAGGGATTTAGGGCTTTAGGCTTAGGGATTTAGGGTTTAGGGATTTAGGGTTTTGGAGTTTAGGGTCTTTTTAAACCTTTCTCACTGCAATGTCAAACTATACATAATGACAGTGCTAAGCAACGGATTCACGTGGCCCCCATTCAACAGATACATTGCGGCAAAGTCATACGGACCCTCGAGGCTGGGCAGAAGGCGTTCAAGGCTTGGGCCAGGGTTCAGGATTTTCGTCGAGCAATTCCATATTGCACATGACCCTTAAACCCTAAACCCTTAAACCTTCGACCCCAAACCCAATGTGAACCTTAAACCTAAGCCCTAAACCAGTAAACCCCCAAGCCCTGAACCCAACCTGAGCCTATGTTCAGCGCCCCAAGAAGTTTCAAGGTTTGTTCGCGGGTTCTCCTGAATACGATTTGGATTTGGGGTCGGTGTGTCTAGGAAAGACTTAGACTCCAAGGGTTCATAGAGCTTTGGGCTTGCAGGGTTTGGTCCTATGTCAGTATCGTTATTTTTAATACCATCATTATTGTTATTGCTGCTGTTTTTGGTATATTCGAATTCTTCATTATTAACATCATGATTGCGATTATGACTATGATTGTGCCTGTACTTCATTCATCATTCAACCATGTTGTATATACGCTTACGACCATTACAGCGACCATCGTCATTATTGTAGCACTGTTCTAAGCTTCGGGGCAAAGCAAACGGCCGATGCAGCGCGTATAACCCTAGGCTTCTAAGGACTCATATAGAAAGGCTTGTGGGCCCAAAGACCATCCTACATGAGGCTTTTGGGCTATGGTGATGCCCAGGGTAGTGGTCCGGGCCAAGGTCATGCACACTTCTTGACCTTGCTCAGACCTTGCTTTGTCGCATGCTGTTGTGTCCTAGTTCGAGTTAGATGCAGATGGGGGTTTCCATAATAAGTCCGTGGTCCTTGTTGGATTGGTAGGTGTCTGAAGCAAACATAAGAGTACACTTTAGGGGCCGGGCACGCTGGTCTTCGAAGACTCCCATGTCCCGTGATGCTGCACCAGCACATCGCTTCCGGCTCGGGATCTTTGGTGGCTTAGGGTTTAGGGTTTAGGGTGTGGACCTTGATCACAATTCCGAAGAGCGACGGCGACAGTTATCAACGCATTTCAGTCTCAGGTCCTGTCAGATCGATTGTCGTTTTTGTTCGTACCTACATAAAACCCGTCGTGGCAAGGCCCACTTTTTTCACGATCTCGGTTCAAACCTCAAAATTGGAAAACGATCAAATGAAATGAACTTTTGGATCTGAAGGGCCGACGCTTACAGCAACACAAACCTTGTCAGGCACATGGAGTCGTCAGCGCCTTCCTCTTCGCAGGTGCTTCCCGAGATTTGCAGCATGCACTATCTTGGGCCGGCACGTGCAATGGTTGGCATGTTATGAGCCACTACAGCTCTCCGGGAGGACCTGCCTCGTCTGCTGGATAGCAGGCCATCGTTTGGGTCGTGTGTGGTCAACACAGCTTAGAAGAAACAAGACTTTGTCTGTTTTTTCCTGGAGGGAGCAGCGCACTCTGAGCGACAAGGCACGGATGCAACCTCGCTGTTCAGCACATCTTCTCTTCCTCCTGTGAAGCTGATGTGACGCAGGTTGCGTGCGTCTCCAGCATCCCGTGGAAGGCCACCTAGCTGGAACCTCCCAATCCCGCAGCCCTTTGCCATCCTTGCACTCTAGAAGTCTTGATCCGGCAAAACACGCATGTGATGCCGCATCCGGGGCTTTGAGGCCAACATCATTGTCGTGCTGCGCGACGGCGAGGAGAGGGCAGTTGTCTCAGTTGAGTTCCTCATGTGCAACAAGTACGAAAAATACTAATTATGAGTCGGGGCCGTACATCCTTAAACTATGAAAACCTCAAAGCCGTTTAGGGCTCACTTCGCCCTTAAACCCGAAACAACGAAAGAGCCCGTAGTAACCTTGATAGGAGCCCTGAAAGGAACCCTAACAGGAACCCCTTTTAGGGTTCATTTCATCATGAAGGGTTTGGAAGAAAACGACGTGGAACGCCAGAAATGAGGAGGCTGACATTCGTGCAGATAATTTGGCTTCAGCTACCGTCGATACGCTGTTCTGCTTCTTGGGCCTTCTGAGTCCTCACGTATAGTCTCCATCGTAGGCCCGTTTTGGGGCTATCTTGCGATGTAGGCTCCTGAGTACATACCACGAAAAGGAACTACAATGGCGCATAGTCCTGAGAGATTGATTGTTTGTACGGTGTGCTGTCGCGCCTGGCAGTAGCGGATCTGAGCTGAATCCCCCGAGTGCTTTGCCCTCGCAAACATGTCGATTCCGATGTTCCGTCAACAAGACCCATGCAGCGCTTGTTTAGGCTGGAGAGCTGTTCTGCATCACCGACCGATTCATCGTGGTCAGGCCAGCGTGCACAATGCGCAGCTGTGGGTCCAGGATTCGCATCCCTCCGCAGTGTTTTGCAGAAGCACACTTTCCTGGCGAATTTGGTCATGTTACGCTCGCCACCGCACTGGTGTCAGGGCGGACGCATCTGCTGGCCACAGCAACTTCTGGTGTCGGGCTGACGTTCTTGTGGCCAGCGGTCTAGAGTCAGTCTGCTTTCCTTAGTTTGCATGCTGCTGGGGTGCCTTGCAGATTGAAGTACCAAAGCCATATCTCGGAGTCAAGGGACGGGGTCAGTCCAACTGCAGTCTCATCCGGTTGAGGGTTTAGGGTTCGGCGCTCGAGAATCAGCAAGCTTTACATTCCAGACGCTGCCGGTGGCATGGCAAGGACTCTAGGGCTGGTAACAAGAGGACATGCACTTGGCAGCCGCCACCGTGTTGAATATTTTATACCAATAACAACAGAAGTAGGAATGTACATAATTGGAAGCGAACCAATCACAGCATTACGTTGAACAGGAATGTCGAGAAGTGCCGCAGAATACTAGAGGGCATGACAATGCACGAGAGAAACACTTTGCACTAATACATCTGGTTGGGTTTCCATATCAGAAACTGCGTGCAGTCCCGGCACCAACTGAAACTTGATGTCGCCGCTGAAGTCAGGTGGCTTTCTGAGGCAGCCATTCGTGAGGCAGGCTGCTTCTACTCAGCTTGTCTTTGAGCTCAAGCCAGTCACAGAGGACCCCACTTGATGACGGGAACGGCACTTTTATTTCGAGCCCTACATCGTCTCTTGTGGCCAAAACGCTTCCCGAGTATCCATCGCCCCTGAGCAATTCCAACCAATGTCTAGTCATAGGCCATGCGTCGCTTTGAAGTTGGCCGTGCACAGGTTCGGATGGAGCCGTCCGCCGCTGGGGTCGGCTCCTCAGCGGCGGCAGACGCATTCAGTAGGCCGAGCACAACCCTGAAGCCCGAAACAGGCAGACCAAGGATTGGTGCTGATGTCCGTACGAAAGGGTTTCCTGTGCCCGTCATTGATGGAAACCATAAACCCTTAGGTCCTAAACCTTGAACCTGAAAAGCCCGAAGAATATCAGGTTGATGCGTTGGTGATGGTAAATGGTCATACTGGTTGTAGCTAGATGCATTGTACAATGTGCATGTAGTTAATTACGATGAAACTCGCGCCTCAGCATATCACATCGGTGTGTTAGTGATGGTCGTGATGGCGATGGTCATGATGAACAATGCATGACAAGTCCACATCAAGATCCATGTGCTAGGTCGTGCCCTTTCGTGAACCCGCTGCAGCACGAATGGCGCGGCGTGGTTGGAAAAAGTGGGTGGTGCGAGCCTCACAAGGCTTCCTAATTGTCAATGGTTCAACTGTTCCTGACACATCAACAACATTTGCAACTGTAGTGCGCCGAGAAGATGCATTGCTTGTGAGCCTTTCGGGGAATGAGCGCAACGTTACATTGAGTTTGGCATCGGGGCGGGGTTGATTGGTGATGTGAAGTCATCTCGGAGCGGATGCAACCCAAAGAAAGTACACCACAACATAAAGTCACGAGCATGACAATTCTACCGGTCGACAAACAATTCCCACATCGATCCACAACAGGAACCCTCGCATGTTGTGATTCTTGTTGCTGCTGCTGCTGATGTTGTTGTTGTTGGTGGTGCTGGTGGTGCTGGTTGTGGTTGTGGTGGTGGTGGAGGTGGTGTTGTTCGTGTTGTTGTCCTGGGTCTTGTTGTTGTTGCTGCTGCTGGAGGTGGTTGTTGTTGTTGCTGCTGCTGTTGTTGCTGGCGGTGGTGTTGGTGTTGTTGGTGGTGTTGACGTTGTTGGTGTTGTTGTTGTGATTCTTGTTGTTGCTGCTGCTGGTGGTGGTGGTGCTTTTTGTTTGTTATAGTTGTAGTTGTTGTTGTTGTCGTTGTGATTCTTGTTGCGGCTGGTGGTGGCGGTTGTGTTTTTGTTGCTGCTGCTGGTGGTCATGGTAGTATTTGTTTGGTGTTCTTGTTGGGGCGTGGTGGTGATGGCGGCGGCGGCGGGGGTGGTGGTGGCGGCGGGGGTGGTGGTGGTGGCGGGGGGTGGCGGGGGTGGCGGGGGTGGTGGTGGTGGTGGTGGTGGTGGTGGTGGTGGTGGTGGTGGTGGTGGTGGTGGTGGTGGTGGTGGTGGTGGTGGTGGTGGTGGTGGTGGTGGTGGTGGTGGTGGTGGTGGTGGTGGTGGTGGTGGTGGTGGTGGTGGTGGTGGTGGTGGTGGTGGTGGTGGTGGTGGTGGTGGTGGTGGTGGTGGTGGTGGTGGTGGTGGTGGTGGTGGTGGTGGTGGTGGTGGTGGTGGTGGTGGTGGTGGTGGTGGTGGTGGTGGTGGTGGTGGTGGTGGTGGTGGTGGTGGTGGTGGTTTGTACCGCAGTTAGGAGAGATCCGAACGTTGCGACAGGAACTAGGTCAGCGAGTATTCGCCGGATGCTAGGTGCATCACGCTGCTGTTGAGCGTACCAAGACTCCGCGTTGCCACGAGTGACAACGCACATAATCAAAAGAAGGATCAAGCGCTATGATGGGTCAATGCGCACAGTGCGAGGCTATTCCCCGCGACAACCGCGTCTGAGACGCAGGTGTGCTACTCTTGCCCGCAGCAGCCGAAGCTAGGCCATTCACGTCAGAGGTGCCTCATTCAGTCGATGTAGTGGAGCTTGGCAGCTGAAAACCGAGGTCCGACAGCCGCTTCCGCGAGGTAGGTGAAAGCCTGTGTAGAGAGCGCACGGTGTAGCCAATAAGAATCAATCTGTCTCCGCATGACCAGGGTGTGGTAGCATGTTTAAGAAGAGGGCAGAAGGTACAACATGGCCATCCGATTCTGTGCATAGTACCAGGACCTGAGGTCGAATCCAGGATGTGCGCACCAGATGCGCTCTCAATCCACAGACTTCCTCCTTTCCATCTGGAACATGGTATCACAGCGTTGAGCGATCTGGGATCGTTGTGAGCATCGCAATGAAGCTGGATCAAGGTATTCCTTTGAAGCGTAACGGAGGAGAACGTAAATTCTGGACCGCATGCTTCGCGGATGATCGCCGTAAGCACTCGTGTAACCAGTGGGTACAGCCCCGTACTCGTCTGGATGCCTGTATCATGTGCAAAGGTGTAGGCGCCTGTCGAGAAGCTGCATTGGCGCGGCATGCGATCACTAAGCTGTTTTCTTCGCTTCGCCGTGGCCCGGTCCGGTAATGCATCCATCAGCGCCGAAAGGTTCTCGAAGGTGGCGAGTCCAGCCTGGAGGATCTCATTGGCGGCATTTTCCACCGCACATCGCTCCATCGTCAACGTGGTAGCACCTGCTGTGGGGTTGAGAACCTGACGGTATGAGGAAAGCTCACGGACCGAATGGTGACCCATATCTAGGACATGCTGTTGCTGTCCCTCCATAACATTCCACTCCTCGGTAACAGATTCTGCTGATGTGAGAGGCGTGGCGATTGAAGGGTGTACCCGCTGCAAGTCCTCGTCCTCAGTATTTAAGGAAGGATTAGGGCTACCAGGGTCAAGGACCGTGGGGGCGGCATGCCCGGCATGCCCGGACACCGAGCTGTGTAGCGAGCATGGTGAATCCACATGATCAGCATACCGCGGGTGTGCAACTCCTAGGATGGAAGGGAGCTCAAGCTCCCAAACATCCGCCGGCACATGATCAGGTTTTTCCGGCCATGACTGTGGTGGCTCCCGGTCTGCTGACATGACATGTCTCAACAAGGCTATGGCAGGGCTTAAGCAGTTGGCGCATCGAGAAAGTGGAAAAGAGAGAAATGCAACGGCAGAAAGACGTGCAGAATGTATGGAGAGGTAGAATGCAGAATGCATGCTGGCAGGAGATGTTTTGTGGCCCACTGAATTTGCAGTGCGGCTCGTCCCGCGGCGGGCCCCCGGCCCACGGCTGTATCCCCATGCCTCGCCGACAAGACGGGGCATGGAAGGGTTCGTGGTGTGCGTGCGCTAGGCCTCTTGAAGGCCAGCTAATCCCCTCGCCTGCAGAGCAGCATGTATACCTCCCTTGACGTGAAAGTGTCCGCCTGTCGGACTGCCGGTGCGTCACTCAAGGGTATAGGCTCACGGCCATCGTCACAGAAGAAGGCGTCACCTGAGGCGTTGTCATGTATAATGGTGGTGTAATGGCCAGCTTTGATGTCGGGGCCTCGGTGGAGGATGGCAGCTTCCACTGTATACGGTATGTTGCAAGACTCCATCCCTTCTGCCGTGAAGCATGACATGTTGATGAGACCGGACCACCTGATACTAGCGAATCTGAGTGCCAGGAGCTCGGGCGGCACCCTAAGTGCATGTAAGGAGGCTTGTGTGTGCCAGGCATGCAAGAGATTTTGGGTCACCAACGCATCCCCATCCGGGAGATCCAAAGTGATGGCCTGGTGGCAGTGACCGGACTCAGTGACGCTGATTCGGTCTTCTGCGTCACGGCGCGCCTCCCATTCCCCTGTAGTTGCCTGGGGACAAAGTTTGGGAACAAGGTGTGCTAGGAATTCGGCGCTGTCATGTTGTCTCTGTGCGTTAGCCCAGCCTGTCATGGCAAAACGCCATAGGAGCATACCTGGGAGGAAGTGGGGGCGGCGTGGCTGTCGACTTAGGAATGAGATTGCCTGGCATCCAGCGGGCGTGAGAGCCAGTGGGCCCTCCTGTGGGAAGCTATCCCCATGCAAGATGGTCCATAGAAGAGCCCTGGTAGTAGCATTAAAGTAGCAGTAGTTACCAGGATTGCTAAGAGTGATGGTCCTCAGGAGTACACGCGATCCAAGAGCTGCTGAAGCGTAGGCGGACGCTGCGTGGTCTCTCTCCTGAACTGAACCCCCGCCAATTGCAGGGCGGCACATCCTTGGAGCTGCGTGAGAAGATCGAAGAGTTGATTCGCTTCTGAGCAGCGGTTCGCGACATCCATGAGCACTCGGACTGTTTGTCCTTCCATGCCTTCCTCGAGGCCCCGAAGCGCATGAAAGCGTGACAATGTATCTGGATGGAGAAGCCCTTGAATTTCCTGGAGGATCCTCAAGAGCTCTCCCGGAGAGATGGGGGTCCGCGCGGTGTCCACCGTCAGTGCCTTGAGATCTGGGCACCACCTCTGATAGATCCATAGACCAGCGTCGTTGGCCCATCCCGAGCTCTTCACCATCTTGAGGGTCTCCTCGCTCGGGCTTTGGACCGAGGACTTGATGAATTCTATCAGGCTCCAGAACATGGCCTGTCGGATGGGAGTGTTCTTGAGCTTGCTGTCTGGCTTGACCACCGACTCTCGCCACACCTTGGCAGCCTGAACCAGGGCAGGAATTGGCGATGGTGCCGGGATCTTGAGCCACCATACCCACCCCGTGCTGAGTCGGAGCGTGGAGATCGCCTCCTGGTGGTGCATTAGAAGTCTGGTCACCAGCCTCAGCGTCTCTGGTGGTGGTGGTGGTGGTGGTGGTGGTGGTGGTGGTGGTGGTGGTGGTGGTGGTGGTGGTGGTGGTGGGGGTGGTGGTGGTGGTGTGGTGGTGTTGTGGTGGTGGTGGTGGTGGTGTTGTGGTGGTGGTGGTGGTTGTGGTGGTGGTGGTGGTGGTGGTGGTGGTGGTGGTGGTGGTGGTGGTGGTGGTGGTGGTGGTGGTGGTGGTGGTGGTGGTGGTGGTGGTGGTGGTGGTGGTGGTGGTGGTGGTGGTGGTGGTGGTGGTGGCGGTGGTGGTGGTGGTGGTGGTGGTGGTGGTGGTGGTGGTGGTGGTGGTGGCGTCGCTGGTGTTGTTGTTGGTGGTGGCGGTGTCGGTGTTGTTGTCGTTGTCGTTATTATCGGTGTCATGGCTGCGTTGTGTTGTTGTTGTTGTTGTGGTTATTGTTGTTGTCGTTGGTGTTGGCGTTGTTGTTGCCGTTGGTGTTGGTGTTGTTGTTGTTGTTGTTGTTCTTGTTCTTGTTCTAAGCCTCTCGGCTCAGGAAAGGTCAGGCTAGTACAGTTGCCTTTTTCCGTTCTTGCCATGGCATTTGTCAGCGCCTGAGCAGTCCCGGTCCCAAGTCCGGGGGGGAGCATTTAGATTTACAGCTTTCTATCAGCTCCCAGAGGTGAGGGTTGTCGGTATTGCGAAGCCGACAGGAGCCGTACTCAACATGAGTGCTGCGAAACAGCCTAGTGATTCGACCAAGCATCAGCCCGTTCCTAAAGGGAAGGGTAAACGCTCTTATCAAAGGGCAGCACGTAAAGCTCTGCTTGAAGGTAGTGCGGTCTACAAGGGAAGGACGATGTCGTCAACAGAGCTTGGAGTTGCTCCGGCACATGTAAAGCCCACCAATCCCGGCAGAAGGACTCGGCCTTCGAAAT